AAAAGAGCGTGGACTTCGATGCCGCCAGCCAGCTCAGATTCGAGGGACGTCGATTCCCGCAGAGATTGAAGTCTTGACTTGAGGTGCCGGAGCCACGAAGCAGCGCTCCGTCCAAGGCCACACGCAAAGGCATGGGCAGCATGAGCACATGAGGACAAGAGCGGAGGGAAGCTCAACTTTCCCGCGCACGTTGGCAAGGCACGGGCTTCGTATTGACGGCGGACCTACCGTTGACAGACGAGGAGGACGAGGAGGATGAGAAGGCAAGTGCACCTGGAATTGAAGATTCAGATCTTTCCTTGAGGGCCCATGCTTGTGCAGGTTGCCAGTGGTATGTCAGCAGTATGACTTCACTTTGCACTGGAGCAATGCTGGGGTGTCGTAGGCAGAGGTTCCTTCCAAGCCTGCAAAGAAGAACGTGGACTTCAGTGCGGCAGCGAGCTTGGTGGTGCCATGTTGTGCCAGTGCCACAGAGATGATGTGCAAGATCTGAGGTTTGCATTTCGAGTGTTACTTGTAAGCCAGCAATCTGCAAGACTTCTGCAGGGGCGAGTGTGTTTCTAAGCAAGGCCCGAAACAGTGCTGGTGACGCCTGGGTTCAGCATGTTAGTGGTGTTGATGCTGACTGCACCAGACGGCCGTGTGACCGTCGGGACCTCTCACGTGTTGTCACGGTGGCTTCAGCGCTTTCCCTGTGCTAGTCCTGGCAGATGTGATGATTTCAGGTGCCGGAGCCACAAGGGGCTGCTCCGTCCAAGGCGACACGCAAAGGCGCATAAACCACAAGCTCTGGGCATGACGAATGTCTGTGGATGCTTGTGCAGGCACGGGTTTCGTGTTGGCGGCCGACTTGCCGTTGACCGACGAGGAAGATGAGCCGGACGAGGAGGGGTTCAGGTTTTCATCAATGGACCGTATTGCGCCCTTGCATGTAGCGAGTCCTTGGCTACAGGCCGCAGGCCGCAGAGATGTTGCCCCTACATCGCCAATGTCGCCGGCCTGAAGCCTCGGATTGGTGGCGAAGTGCTTGTGGCTTCGTTTATTGCGTAAGTCTTGAGGCGCCGAAGCCATGGAACGTGGCATCCAAGACAGCTAAAAAAGGCGGCACAGCGATTTTGCAATACATCCGTGGGCTTAAATGGGCCTAGGCCTAGACTCCTAGACGTAAGGTTCTGGCAAAAGTCGCCTCGATTTGTGTTCAACAGCTTTTGCCTTACAGGCAAGAGTTTCGTGTTGACAGAAGAGCTGCCGTTGACGGACGAGGAGAACGAGGAGGATGTGAAGGTGGCATGCAGCAATCATGCATAAGATGTCAAAAAAGCTGTGCAGTAGAAATCAGCCGGCTCTGATGCTGCACTGGGATGTTCGAGGCGGAAGGTGCAGCGAAAACGACAAGGAACGTTGCCTTCAGCGCGGTTGCTCGGTTGCACAGCCAGCAATAGGAAGGAGCTGCTCGCAGCAAGCTGAAGTTGGCAAATTGGGCAGCTGCTCCGTTTGTCCACAGGCTGCGTTTGCTGCGACAAAGCAGTACGCATATCCGACCACGACTCATGTTCATGCCAAAGTGTGGTCGGGATGGCTCTTGGGCCATTTCAAAACGAGTCACAAGTACCATGAGCATTGTCGGCATGCAGCCCACCAACAACTCGAAGACAGACGTAGCTAGCAGGAACCAAGTTGCATTGTCATCACTTGAGCAGCCTTACATTACATGCCGCTACCGAACAAAGTGGGCTTGCAAGGCAACCCGCGCAAAGTCCGGCAGTTTCAACAGCGACCCTTTCGCAGTATTTTTCTGCATGCTTCCCGCTGCTATGTTGGGCAGCTACATGCTAGCATGCAGCGTTTTTGCCGAGCGTCACGAAACAACAAACAACCCTAAGGCCCTAAGGCATCGTGCCACAAAGCAATGTAATGTAGCATATGTTTCGCCATTTGGCATAACGAAGCTTAGCCTAGTAGCTCAATTGATGCGATATGCGACTTACGGTGACCACATACCCAGCGTCAGATATTTCAGCAAAACTGTGGACTTGAGTGTGCTCACGACGGTGTGGTCGTGAGGTGCCCGAGTCACAGGGAAGCGCTCCGTCCAAGGCAAGCCGCAAAGGCAGGAGCAGGGGTAGAAGCTGAAAGAGTTCGGGGTGTGTATGCAC